GCGGCCCCCTGGGGCCGCGGAGCTCCGTCGGCCCCAGGCTGCCCAACTCGGTGGGCTCGGGCACGCGGCCGCCTGGCTCGTCTGGCTCCGCGTCGCTGCCCAGCCCGCCGGGGGCGGCCGCTGGCGCCCTCTCCGCCTCGCCCAGCTCCGCGGGTGCAGGCCGGGCGTCTGCCGCTCCCGCGAGGGGCCGAACTGCCTGCGGCTCGTGCCGGGCGCCGTCGTCGCAGTAGCCCCCGAAGAGCGCCGCGTCCTCCTCCTCCTCGAAACGCGGCACGCAAGAGTGCAGCATCCGCACGGCCCGTCGCGCCAGCTGGGCGCCGATGGCGCCCCGGACCCTTCGGGGGAGCAGCCGGCGGCCCTGCGCCCCACGGCGCCGGGCCGCTTGCGCGGCCATCGCGGAAAGCATCGCGCTGGTCTCCGGGTGCTCGCGGCCCCAAGCCGACCAAACCATTGGCCGGTAGGTGATGTTCTGCGCCCGCAACTCAGCCTCGCACTCCTGGTAGTCCCCCTGCTTCTTGCGGCACATCGCGTCGCAGCAGTCCGCGCCCGCGCTGGTTGCGTCGGGGCCCGTGATCCCAATGTCCAACGCCGCCAAGCGGTCCGGGAGGGCCGCTGAGGTCAAGACGTCCGCGGGGCGGAGCGTTGGAGCAGAGGGAATGAGCCCGAGAGCCTCTGTCGCGGCGGTGGGGCCTGCCAAGTGCCCCAACCGGAGCACCTCGTCCCGGACGTCGTAGTGCCCGCGGGCTGCCTCCGGCAAGGCACAGCAGAGGGCACGGGGGCCAGTCGTCCCAAGCGAGGCGCCGCACCGAGCGCACAGCGCTGTGGGGCTGGTGCAGACTGCGCCCACCCGGAGCCGGACCGCCACCTGGAAGTCGCTACTGGGCACCACTGGACCACGTGCGCGCGAGACTCGCCACAGCCACTCGTGCGACACGGAGGGGTCGCGCAGCTCCAGGAGGCGCCAGCGGCGATCCTGCAGCGCGGTTACGTCCAGCTGCTCCAGGAGGCGGACGACCGCCAGCTCGTCCTGGATGGCACACAAGGCCGCCTGCAGGCTGGCGGGCTCGAACTCAGCGTCCTCGGCTCCTGCGGGCAGCACCAGGTCGCCCCCGGCCAAGGCCGATTCGCGCCGGCGCCTCGCGCCTGCGAGCGCCGCCTCAGGAGTGCCGCGTGCTTCGGCCGCCTGCTGCACCATGCAGGTCCCGAGCTCGCGTCGCCGCGGCCGCCGGGAGCGACGCCTCGAAGGCCAACTGCGCCTCTTCGGTGCTCGCGTCGTAAGCGGCGAGCATGCCCTCGGGCCCGACCCCAGCCTCGGAGACGCCTTGCACGAGCAGGTCTACCAGCCACCGCGACTCGACCCGGGACGCCACGAAGGCTGGGAGCGCCGTGGCTGCGGCGCGCCGCACCCCGGGCCCGCCCTCCGAGACGCCGACAGCGCACTGGCCCGCGGACAGGTCGTCCAAGTCCCCGCCGAAACACCGCGCCAACGACCGCCGCAACATGGTGTCGTAATCGCCCAGCGCCGCTGGGTCGATCGAGGGGCCCGAGGCTCGCAGCAAGTGAACCACCTTGCACACGTCGGCGCACTTGCGGAACAGGATCAGTTCCGACGCCGTGTCCTCCACCTGCGCCAGCGCCTCGTGGAGCTCGGAGACAGCCTCGGTGGCCCGGCGGAACTGGTCGGACGGGGTGTGCGCGTCCCCGAAGTCGACCCCAAGCACGTGCTCCTGGCGTGACGGGTCGAACGTAGTGCTGCTAAGCACGTGCTCCGTGGCCCAGCCTCTGCTCGCAGCAGGCGGCCCGACGACGCGTGCGACGCTCTTCGCCTCGGCGCCCCGTGCTCTCGCAGCGCCCGCGCGGGCGCCGGCTGCGTCGAGTGCCCGGAACTCGGCGTCAACGTGCTCAGGCCGGCACACGATCTGCCCGTCGACCAGATACCACACGTCGAAGAAATCGATCCCTGCTGCGGCCAGTTCATCCTGGGCACCGGCCTGCCAGGACGAGAGCACAGTAGATGGGACCAAGGGGGTCGCCTTGCTCTGCCCCGCGGTCTACGCGCAGCACTCCGCCCGACGGCAGGACAACCCGCCCTGGCGCGGCATCACATAGCTGGGTCCATGCCGAGGCTTCCGGCAGCAGCTCCTCGACGGCATCTCGGATGCTGTCCCACTCGATGGACGGAAAAGCGTTCTTCCAGTCCACGTCGACTACCGCCACAGCGTCCGTGCCGGCCTTGAGGCTTGACTCGAGCAGAGTGCGGAAGCGAACCAAGCCCTCTGTCCCGCCAGGCACGGCGACGCCGAACTGCCGCGCAGCAAGGCAAACCTCTTGGACCTTGGCCCGGTTGGTGTCGACAAGCCGTTTCGCAATCACCCGGCGCCACAGCTCCCCCACGCGGATCGGCCGCGGTGCCACGCCGGACTTCTTGCGCAGGAAGACAAGGCGAGAATCCAGCATCCACCGGGCAGCGTCGCACAACGAACCCGCCGTGGCTGCATCCACGAGGCGGCCAATGGCAGCCAGGAGGAATCTAGCGCAACGCCGGTCCCGGACTGCTGTCAGTTCCCGCAGGTGCTCCGGGCGCATGCCGCTGGGGCCAGGCGCCGACATCGCTCGGAACCGCACGCCCTTCAGCGCTGGAGCAGCTCCTGTCGGGGCATCGTCGGGCGGCGCGGCCTGCTGGGGATCGGCCGGAGGCGCTATGGCGGCGGCAGGGCGGGTGCTGCGCGGCAGGAGTGCTGCCCCCCAGGCCGCCTGCGCCTCAGTGTCGAGGTCCGCCACGCTGGTGTGTAAGGAGCTGGCCGTCTTGCTGTAGGCGCCTTCGCCGACGAGAGCGCGTGCCCGGCGAGCTCGGGCCCCGTGCGTGGGCGCCCCTCGCAGGGCCGCTCTGTGTCGAGCTCTCTGCCGGCAGTGCTCTTCAGCCCGCTCCAGCAAAACGAAGAATTGCCCATCGGCCCAGAGCTGCAACCGCCTCGCGAGCTCGACGCGCACGTTGACTTCGCGAGGGACCGGGCCCAGCAGCAGCCGCGGCCGTGTTTCCTCCTGCACGCAAGCATCCGCGTCGCCCTCGGCGATCCGGTTGAGCAGGCCCGCAAGTACCGCGGCCTGCCGTGCGCGCTGGTCCACCGGCACGTGGAGGAGTGTAGAAGGTCGCGCACCCGAGCCAGGAAGTTCGCGTGCTCGTCTGCTGGCAGCCCAGGAGGCATGGGCTCCTGAGGGGCAGCCGCAGGCCTCCCTGCCCGAGCGGGCGGCAGCCGGTCACCGGCGGCAGGCGGCCGCGGCGGCTCCGTGGACTGGCACCGTGGGCACCTCCGGCACGCCGTCGCCTTCAGGGAGCCGCAGCCTGCACATGCCCCGCAGCCCGCACATGAACAAACCATGCTTTACCCACGATGCACCAGCCCCGGCGTCCTGCTGCCAGGGAATCGGAAAGCTGAGCAGAATCATAACGAAACGTGTGAGGCAAACCACCATTGTAGCGTGCCCATTTTCGCGTCGACCCAGTAAGAGGAGGCATCGCTCCGAACATATTCTTTTCATACGTGCGGGTGCCTTCGCCGAAAAATCATACTAGATTATCCATCTTGCCGAGGTTCGAACAACATCCGTACTTTCTTAGCGCATTGGTCAAGTAGAGGTTGGCGAAGTCCGTTTTCAGCACGGCATCGGCGACGTAAAGCACGATGTAGGAGCGCCGGATATCGTCCACGAAGGTGTTCAGGCAAATGCCCACCCAGGCTTGTCAATGAACAGGTCGTTCGAAAATGAAAACAAATAACTACTGCCATGATTTGTTTGAGACAGACGTCCCAATACAGGATGGCCTTGTGGTGACGGAATTGAAAAACTAGCGGCACTCGACCCTGCCATCAGCTCACCCGGCCAAAGAGTGACAGAATCATCACCGCCCTGCACTGCAATCGCTGCCACGATTTCCCCGAATGCACAAGAGCGATGTCCTGTCATCTTCGGACAATTTGTCTGCAATCGCCTTGTCGAGCTCCGCGTGTCTCGTGCATTGGAAGGACTTGGTCCCATCATAAAGAGATTCCGGAATCTCTCTGTCGACACCTGCTGCGCTAGCATCGCGGATTCCCGCCCTCTGTGAGCCTCAGCCCCATGCGACAACGTTGGCACACCCGCGTGAGGAGCCTTTCGCGATGGGACAGCTGGTCTACACCACCCTTGTACCTTGGAGCTGTGGCTTGCCATTGTGCTTCAACATGAAGACGCCTCTCAAGCGACTCCAGGCGAGCAGGGTAACCCGAGCCGTACGAATCTGCGCAAGCACGTTCAGAAATACACTTGCAGATTGGCCCACGTCGGCACGGCGACGACGTGCGGCCAACCGTCGAAGAGGGAAGAAACACAGGTGCCAAAGCTCCAAGGGTGGAGACCCTTCTGGCGCCCACTTCCCCTCGGCCCCCTTTCGAAAAAGAAAACGGATCTTCGACAAATCTGTTTTGGCAAGGCGGTACGTGTGATCGGCGGGCAAACAGCCCCCGGGCACGAGAGCCACGTCGCAAGCTGTGCCTCGTAGTCCACTTCTGTGGCGGCCCTCCCGCCGACAGGTCCAGGAAGACCAAACAATCAATCGACAACCCATCGACAGTCCGTCAAGCCCATGGGCAATCGACAATCAAGAGGACCCCGCGGCGAAAAACCAGTCCTGGGGCGCAGAGCTCCGGGGGCGAGGACGCTGAAAACAGAATATCGCGAAACGTATGCCTTGCTGAAGCGAGGCCTAACCGAACCCTAAAAGAGCCATGGGCAAGAGAGCCGGGCAGGATCCTCCTCCGTGGTGTGGCCCCCCTGCTTTGCGGCGCCCCGCCCGAGACATCTTCAGCATCCAACTCGGAGAGGCAGCGCGGACTTTCCTGACCGGGGGTAGCCCGCTGGTGGTGTCCTCCGTCCTTTTTCTTTTCTTTTTTTCTGGGGGTGGTGTCTCCGTCCTCCGACTCCTCCTGCCCCTCTTCGGGCCTCAGACTCTCGTGGGTCGCCTGGGCGCGGGGAGCCCTCCACGACTGCGGGGGTCGCCACCGCGACGACGCCCCAGCCCTGCACGGCGAAGGACGTCTGGTGCTGGCCCTCGGAGTCCACCTTTGCGGCGTCCGTTGGGGTGGGGGGGGCGTCGTCGCCGTCGCCATCGTCGTCGTCGCCGTCGTCGCCGCCGCCGCCGCCGCCGCCGCCGTAGCCGTCGTCGTCGCCGCAACAGCCGCAGCCGCCGTCGTCGTCGCCGACGCCGCCGTCGTCAACGTCGTCGTCGTCGTCGCCGTCGTCTTCGTCGTCGTCGTCGTCGTCGCCGCCGCCGCCGCCGCCGCCGCCGTCGTCGTCGTCGTCGTCGTCGTCGTCGTCGTCGTCGTCGTCGAGATCGTCGCCGAGGGCGGCCCATGGGCCAGGGGGGGAGCCAGAGAGAACGGGCCCCCGGAGGCTGGCCGCTGAGCCAGGCGAGGAGCGCGGAGCCAGACGAGGCTGCGGAGTGGAGTGGAGGAGGTTCGAGGTATGGGAGGAGGGAGGAGGGGGGGAAGGGGAAAGTGAGCAGGGAGAGGACGAGGATGGAGTGAAGGAGGAAGAGGAGTCCACCTCATCAGGGTGGGCCAACAGTGCGTCCGAGAGAGTTTCGGACGGCCTCCCGACGGTCCTTGAGCGCCCCTGGAGCGACAGGGTCCCCAGTCGGCGGCGCCTCGGCAAGGACAAACTTACTCAATGCAGAGATCCCCATATGTGCATAGCGTTGCCCAGCACGTCCCTCTGTGAATGTCTGGCTGTGAGTGTCTGGGTGTGAGAGCGAATCCGAGTGGACGATGGGCACGACGACGACTGCGGCAGAGACGATGGTGAACAACGCCGACTACGACAACAACTCACAGACAGACAGGCGGTGAGCAGGCCGGTGCCCTCTCCCTCCCCGTCGTATTCCATCCCCTGTCTTCCTCCTTCCTCCGTTTCCCTCCTCCTGCATCCGCCTCCTTCCTCCTCCGTACTTCCACATCCACCCTGGCGGCCCTCCTTCTCCCTCCTCGGGCGTCATCCTCCCTCCTCTTTGCCATCTCTCCTCCGCCGTCCTCCCCCTCCCCCCTCCCTCCTCTTCCTGCTCGCCGAAGCCCGTCCCTTCTCTTCCTTCCTCCATCCTTCTCCCTCCTCCTGCGTCCTCCTCCCTCCTCATCCGTCCTCTCTGGCGGCCGTCCCTCTCCCTCCTCGTGCGCCCCTCACCCCCCTTCCTCCTTCCTGTCCTCTCGTTCCTCCGCCGTGTTCCCGCCTCCCTTCCCCCTCGCAGGTGCCTCCCCTCCCTCGGGAGCCCACCCTCCCCTCTGCTCCTCCTGCTCTGTTCGCCGTGGCCCCTCCTCTTCTCCTCCTCCGCCCCACCCCCCTTTCTCCCCCCGCCTGTGTCCTCCTCCTGTGTCCCCCTCCTTTCTGCTCCTGCTCCTGCTCCTGCTCCTGCTCCTGCTCCTGCTCCTGCTCCTGCTCCTGCTCCTGCTCCTGCTCCTGCTCCTGCTCCTCCTCCTCCTCCTCCTCCTCCTCCTCCTCCCCCTCCTCATCCTGGACAGGGGCCGGAGGCGCAACACAAACGCCTCGCTCGAGACACCCCCCCGCAATCTGCCCGCCAACGGGCGACGGCCATACCACATGGCGGCTCCCCCTCGGGGTGTCGAGGCCAGCGCCTTGGCCGAGCCACCCCCACAACCTGCCCGACAGGCAGACGAGTCTGAGACACTCGGGAGGCGAATCGCCTGAGACACATCTGACTACCTACCAGACCACCTCAACCCAACCCAACCCAAAGACCCGAATTTCGGGTTGGGAGGTACGGATTCCATGTGTGTTTTCTCGATGTTCCCCGACCCCCCCCCCACACTGGAAATGGAAGGCAAACTGAGGCCCTCGGGTTGGGTTGGGGTAGCTTGGTGGGTAGTGAACATCCCCCCAATCTTCGGGGGCGCGCAAAAATGGATTAGCGATCCGTGGACTTGGCGCGCGGTCGCCAAATCCACGGATCGGGGGAGGTGCCCTCCCCAAAATGCGGCCGGTGCCGCCTCGTTCGGCGGCGGACATCTGCGATTTTCCATGCAAACGGGACCCGTCACTAATCCACGCCCCCTTGATCCATGTCAAGGCTGGACCTACGTTGTCTGCCGTTCTGTTTTCTTTTTGCCGTTCGTTTTGCTCTACATGTTTTCCTGCACCTCCCTGCCAACAAGGAAACACAAAGCACAGCCGAAGTTCAGCAACACAGCGATCAGGTCCAGCCCCGATCCATGCTTGCGATCGCCCGAAATCTGGCCGCGGACGGGCTCCTGGCGGCTCTCACTTTGGGGCGCTGAAGCCAGCGCCGCGCCTGAGACCTCCTCCTCCTCCTCCTCCTCGTCCTCCTCGCCCTCCTCGTCCTCCTCCTCGTGCTCCTCCTTCTCCCCCTCCTCCTCCTCCGAAAGCACACGAGTCTGGGGGTGGGGGGGAACCTGGCAAACCGATTGGACCGTCCTCAAAATCTGGGCGCGAACGGGCCCTTGCAATCACCCCTCCTGGGGTGCTGAAGCTCGCGCCTCGCCTGGGACATCCGCACGCTCTGGTCTGAGAAAAAGAAACTGGGGGACCGCAGCGAGCAAACCGCCTGACACGTCCCCACAATCTGGGCGCGAACAGGCCCGTGCAATCACCCCTGGCGGCTTCCCCTTCGGGTGCTCAAACCTGCAGCTCGCGTGAGACATCCTCGCAATCTGCGGAAAACAAGGGACACTGGGAGGCCGAAACAAGCAAACCGCGTCTGAATGGGAGGAGGGGGGGGAACATGAGGAAGGTGAGCCAGGCGGCGGCGTCAGAGTAATTACTCGACGTGGAGATCCCCACATGTGCATCTCATCTCTGGCAAGTCCTGGTGTGAATGTTTGGCTGTGCGCGCCTAGGTGTGAGAGCGAATCCGAATGGACGACAACGACGACGAAAACGACGACGAAGACAACGACGACGACGACGACGACGACGACGACGACGACGACGACGACGACGACGGCGGCGGCGGCGGCGGCGGCGGCGGCGGCGGCGGCTACGATGAGGGACAATGCCGACCACGACAACAACAACTCACAGGCAGACAGGCGGTGGGCAGGCCGTTCTCCTTCGTCGTCTTCCTTGTCGGCGTCGTCGTCTTCCTCCTTCCTCCGTTCTCCCTCCTCCTGCGTCCACCTCCTTCCTCCTCCGTGCTCCCACATCCTCCCTGGCAGCCGCGCTTCTCCCACCTCGGGCGTCCTCCTTCCTCCTCCTTGTCTCCTCCGCCTTCCTCCCCCCCTTCTAAGCGGCAAGGGCCCCCATTCCCTTGCGGCCCCCTCCCCTCTCCTTCCTCTTCGTGTTCGCCGGAGCCCCTCCCTTTTCTTCCTTCCTCCATCCTCCCTTCTCCTTCCTCCTGCGTCCTCCCCATTCCTCCTTCTCCCTTCTCCCTCGTCCCTTTTCCCTTGTCCCTTCTCCCTCCTACTTTTCCCTTTTTCCTCCTTCTCCCTTCTCCCTCCTTCCTTCTCCGTTTTCCCTTCTCCCTACTCCCGTCCAGTCCTCGTCCTCGTCCTCCTCGTCCTCCTCCTCCTCCTCCTCGTCCTCCTCGTCCTCCTCGTCCTCCTCGTCCTCCTCGTCCGCCTCGTCCTCCTCGTCCTCCTCCTCGTCCTCGTCCTCGTCCTCCTACTCTTCCTCCTCCTCCCCCCATCGTCTTCCGCCTCCTCCTCCTGTCTTCTGCGCAGATCAACCATCAAACATCACAACCCGCTTCCCGTGCGCTCGGTCGGCACCCACCAGTAGTGGGTCGGCACGGTGCCGCCCGCCGTTGCGCAGGCAGCCGGATCTGGTCTTCACAGGCTGTGGTGGTGTCCTGCCGTGCTGTCAGCTGCCACTGTTAAGTCGGGCGTGCCCCTCTACATGAGGATATATTCAACAGTAAGCTGTGCTTGGCTATGTTTGCTGTTTTTCTTTATGTTTGGGTATGGTATGTTTGTCCTCCAAAATGCGCCTGTAGGTGTCAGATATACGCTGTGCTTCGTGATATTGTGCAGAGCACGACTGTAGCATAGCGAGCGTACCATTGAACGTTGGCCCGAACCTCTCTCAGGGCCCTTGAGCCACCCCAGCGGAGGTGTGGAAAACATCTCAGATGTCACTCGGGCTTCTCATTCCGTATTGCCATTTAAGACTTCGGGGCCTTTGATAGATCATGTTGGTAGCGGAACCTGGTCAGCCAGGCTCACGCTTCAACTTTCCATATCTTCTCGGCGGCAAGTCTCCAGATTTCGTCGCCACCTCCATAAGCTTCGACCCAGCGGCGGATCTCATAGACCGCCTGGTCAGTTTCTCGTCATGGTCTACGTTTGATTTCACAGCCGATCTCACAGTTGATCGCACAGAACGGGGCAGTTTCGATCTCGTGCAGCACGCGTCGGACATCAACCCCTTGCAGTTACAGCTTAGCACAATGTCTAAGCCGATGGCGGACATGCTACCCGAGCGAGAATTTCCACAGTTCGGCGGCGCGCTCAGCAAATGGAGCGAATACGAGAAGCGGGCGATGATTTTCATTGCGAAGCTGACATTGGAGAAGAAGGAGGGCGAAGCGGCTCTCATGCTCAGCGCAGGTCTCACAGGCGAAGCTTGGGACGAAGTGGGGGATCTCTCAGCCGACGAGCTCATCCAGCCCAACGCGGCGAAACAGCTCATGGCCAGATTACGGAATCGTTTCAAGATAGACGATAAGACTGAGCTCGCAGACGACTTTGAGGAGTACTTCCTCAAGCACAAGCGGTACAAGGGCGAGACGCTGTTCGACTACATCTCAAGAGTGCGCGCTGCAGAGCGCAAACTCGCAAACTCAGAACGCACGACGCCGAGCTACCGGCGAAGGTCCGAGGATGGCTCGCGCTACGACGAGGAAGATTCAGCGCGGATCAGAAGGCAAGCATCATGTCGGTAAAGGGTAAGGAGATCATGCAGGATATGGTTATCGAGGCGTTGGAGACAACGCTCGGACAGGAGAGTGTCATACACGAGCCGAATCACGCACGGAAGCAATATTTCGTCGAGGAGGATACAGCAGAGTACTACGATGAGGACTTCTACACTGGCGAGCC